TTTTTTTTTTTTTTTTTTTTTTTTCATTTTTTTCAAAAAAAAAGTTTTGTATCTAAAGATCCCGCCAAATGTTAATATCAACCAAAATTGAATATATTCATCGTATTTTTTTTTCCTTTTTTCATTATGTTTCTTTTTCCTGCTAAATATCTTTGCTTCTAAGACCATGGTTCATGGGGGGAGTTCTCTAGAATTAAAATTGATCACATTTTTTGAGATTGCATAGGGACGGAGATTATTTTAATAATTTTATTGCTCGAATTGCCTCGTCTCGCCCTGTTGTCAACCTTTCGAGTTAGGAAATGGTATGCTGCTTAAATGTGTGGCAGAAAAATGTTCTGGCCACATTAAAACATCCATCACATATCAAGTCAATAGGTCATAGTTTGCTTATATATATATATATATATATATAGTATCAAAATTTAGGAACTAAATTTCCTCATAATTGGGAGACTAAATTTGTAAATTAAAAAGTTATGTATTTAAAAAAAATATATATGGTGAGAGAGGTAAGTGGGAAGAAGAATATGGTTGTTTTTTTTCTTTCTCTCAAATTTTTAAAAAGCGTTTGCTAGGAAGAGGTTTTCAAGCTCTTATAAAGAATGTTTCGTTCTCCTCTCCAATCGATGTGGGGTCTCATAATCCACCCCCTTTGAAACCCTCCTCTTGGTACTGGTTCATCTCTCCAATTGATGTGAGATTTCATAATTTATTCTCCTTCAGAACCAACGTCCTTGTAGACACATCGTCGTTGTGTCGGGCTCTATACCATTTGTAACAACCTAAGCCTACTGCTAGTAGATATTGTCTTCTTTAAGCTTTCTCTTTCGAGCTTCCTATCAAGATTTTTAAAACGCGTCTACTAGGGAAACGTTTCCATACCCTTATAGAGAATGTTTCGCTCCCCTCTCTCCCCTCTCCAGTCAAGTGGGATCTCACGTCTGAATCATTCTAACGTGTTTCTTCCCTTTTGCCAAACAAACCAACCTGTCATCATAACCAAGCTTAGATTTCATCTCACAAATATCTTATGATGAGCTTCTGTCATTTGGCCGAGGCTGAGGCTGAGGCCGAGGCTTTCGTTGCTGCTGCTGCTCGTGCTCACCTCGCCAAACCCATACAAGATCCTGTAGAGCTGGCCTTATGTCCTCTTCCAATATCTTCTGATATTCCAATGTGTCTCCATTTGATTTTTTCATTTCCACCAAATAAAAAGATGGAGTAACCTCATAGATCTCTGTATCAATGGACAACACCCCTTTTTTTCCCTCTGTTAGTGCCTCAAGCCTCAGTAGGCCTGCTTCTTTCTTCTGCACTCGAAACCGAACAAGTTTAGCAATTTCTTCTAGTTTCGAGAGAAGAACAGAGGCCGGTTTTCTACAAGTAAACAACCTTTCTTTCTTCCTTGAATCGTCTTCAAATAAACTCGATAGGTCGAACCCCGTCGAAAGGGAGACGAGGTCCAACGCATTCAAAGTTGGAGGTCTATCCATCTCTTGATTTCCATCTGAAACAGCCGCTATAGCATCATCTTTTGTTCCACTTCTTACATTCATAGACCTCAATCCTTTTTTGAACCAAGAACTTTGTCTTATCATTGCTATGGAAGTCCTCGTAACGGGGTTTGGATCAAGCATCCGACTTAGCAGCCTCTGCATTTCACGAGGGAACCAACTAGGACATTTATAGTCTGCTTTCTCAATCTTCCTATACATCTCCATTAAATTCGAGTCGTGGAACGGGAGATAACCTGCCAATAAAACAAACAAAACGACTCCACAAGACCAGATATCAGCTTTTGCACCATCATAGCCCTTCCTACTGATAACTTCAGGGGCAACATAAGCCGGGTGTGCCACAAATCGTGTGTAGCAACCCATCTCGACACCCGGACTCGACTAGAGCACTTAAACCAAAATCAGACACCTTAAGATTTTCATTTTCATCAAGCAGTATGTTCTCAGGCTTTATGTCACGGTGATATACTCCCCTACTGTGACAAAAATCAATAGCATGGATTAATTGATAAAAGTATTTCCAAGCAACATCCTCATTCAGCCTCCCTTTAGCAACTTTGTCAAAGAGCTCAACACCTTTTGCATATTCCAAAACAAAGTAAATCTTAGTCTTGGTAGCCATAACCTCATACAGATATACAATATTAGGATGTCTAACAAGTCTCATAATAGATATTTCATGCTTAATACGATCAATTAGCGTAGCCTTCGTAATCCTTCCTTTATCGATCACCTTAATGGCCACGCTTTGGTTGTTTACTGTATTCCGCGCATAATATACCTTAGCGAATGTTCCTTGGCCTAGCAATCTTCCTAATTCGTAGCTTTGAACCATCACACTAGCCTTATTTTCCATCCCAATCAATCAAATCCTAATATAGAAAAGCACAGAACAATACCCTAATATCTACAGGATCAACAATGAAGAACTCATAAATCAAGTACCGATAGAGTAGGCGTTCGCACTCCACGATAACTTGCAGGTAAATTGAGCGTTTGAAAACAGAGAGCAGGTGGGTTTCCTAATAACAACCTAAACTCATCACGAGTAGATATTGTCCGCTTCGGCCCGTTACGTATCGCCGTTAGCCTCGCGGTTTCAAATTACGTCTACTAGGGAGAGGATTCCACACCCTTATAAGGAATGTTTCTTTCTCCTTGCGTCTACTAGGGACAGGTTACCACACCCTTCTAAGAAATACTTCGTTCTCATGTAAATGTTTCCACGTGCTTATAAGAAATGTTTTGTTCTGCTCGCGTCTACTAGGGAGAGGTTTCCATACCCTTAAAAGGAATGCGTCGTTCTTCTCCCCAACGAATATGTGATCTCAAGTCTCCCTCCAATGCAAAAGAGTCACCATTCGGCATTCCCTGCAAATACCAACCAGAGAATTGGAGCACCACTAGTTTCTCTTTAATGAAGATCAACCACCACAGCCCACTTTTCTGCCGAAAGCCGGATGGCTCAGCAAGAGCTCCCTGGCTGCAAAGGGAAATGTTCAATCATTCAAATCAATAACTCCAAATTCAGAAAAGATTACAAGTATTCATATCAAAACGCTTAAAATGCTCAAAACTAATCTCACAAAACGCATACACAGTCAGAATCGCATCCAAAACACCAACAAGAATTCAAAATCAATTCTCAATCCGTAAGCTATGAGAATCCTCCAAATATTACAGTCTACCGCTTCCCTATTGCTGCGTCCATTTTTATTTCCCCCCTGAGATTAAGACTCTCCATTACCTATAGAATTTGAAGGAATCATCAAAATTCTAACACAACAGTAAACTGAAGAAGATTGAAACCAAAGAAATTGAAGCAGAGAAACGATAATGATCAGCAAATTGGGAGTCCAAACATTTCCTAATTCTTCAAAACCTTCCAAAAACAGTCGAGTAAATCAATTACCGTCTTGGTTAAGCGAAGAGTCGGCCCGCGGAACGAGAGAATCCCGGGATCGAGGATTAATGGAGAGGATTAAGATCGAACCTTGGTTTAATTTCGAAAATTGAAAATAAATTCAGTGTAGTGCAAATGGGTGGGCCGGAGAACCGGAAGAATTAACGATAGCTCGACTCGACCAACCGGTCTTTGGGGCTCGGATCATATACAAACAGTTGCACGTGTTTCCCATGTGAAACTCCTGTGAGATCGCAACATCTGTTATGCGATAATTTGATCCGACGGCTCAACTTTAATTTCTGAAAGCCCAGGACTCGATAGTCTTGACCCATAACTTAACAGCCCACAGGACCAATGGGAAATCTTTTCTTAATTAAAAAATATTTCGTTAAATTAAATTTTTAAATATGTGTTCATTTGGACTCTAAATTTTTAAAATTATAAATTTAATCCTCAAATTTTTATATTTTTAAAATTTATAGAGCTATAAGATATAAATTTTAATTTTATATTAATAAATCAATTTAATTTTTAAATATAAATTTAAAAGTTTAATTGTAATTATTATAATGTGTAATTAAGTGGAAATTAATGTATTATTCTTCTCGCGGTTGAAAAATAATTAATTATTATGAAAAAGAAAAAAAAAGAAAAAAGCTTTATATTCTTTTCCAGTTTTCCATTATACCCTCCCTCCTTGAGCCAATCCTGTGGAAAGCGATTCGAGGAATACCTCATTAGACAGGTCACGCGCTGCGCATTTCCACCACAAGCATTGCTAAACCGCTATGGACTGTTCACATTTCCAGATTTGCCCCTACAGTTCTGTTTAATTTTCAATTTGCACCTCCAAAGAACTGCGCGAAATGAACTCTAAACAAAACCTCAAAAATCGCCATAACTGAAATCCTCAGAGCTTCGTCTAGTAATGGCATTTCTGATCTTCAATGCTTCTGTTTCCAATGCCGATGGTGAGATCACAAGACGACGAGGCCACAACATGAATCTTGAAAACACCGATCACCTTCACAATCCCGGACAATCGGGTGAAAATGTTGATCGGGACTTCACCAGAGATCGCGTCGGAGAATAGCTCCGACTTAGCCAGGAGCCGGTCA